TCGAGTGCGTTAACACGATAGTCAAACACATTTTTCAGAATGGGAACTGCGATAGAAGGCAAGGGTTTGACAGAATTTTTCATTTGACAGGTGCCCCTTTCATTTGAAGGATTTATCTATTCTATTATTCCCTTTTCCTTACGTCAGAGATGAAATGAACTCTTTGATTTTGTCTATTCTACCATAACCGTCTCTTCAATCAGCATAAATAAAATTTACCCAAAGGGCAGAGGTTGAAAAAATTGACTTTTATAACCAGCGAGACCTGATATCGCTTGAAAAAGAGAAAACTTATTAGGTCATCAACGCGTGACTATCAATAAATGGCAGAGCCTTATCGGACATTTGTCGCAGCATTTCTTAAGTAAATATGAGCACATAAACTTATGTCCGTCCTCGTATCATCCGCCTCCCCTACCTTGCCATTGCTTTCATGGCGTAAATTCACGAACGTCGTGTATTGTTCTGTTGCTGCTGCATGTAACAGATTCATCGCACCTACGCGGCGCCCTTTGTGACTGATTACCCAGAAGCGAAAAAATCAAAAGTCTTTCTTTTGCCCGACAGAGAAAAGTCAGGCTCTGCCTGAGTGTGAAAATTTATCGATAAGAACGAATATCGCCAATGAAGACAGAATTAATTTATAGCGATTTTCATGAGAGGAAAAGAGAAAACTGTAGTTACACAGACGGAAAGAATCAGTTTCATGAAATAAAATGAATTACAGATGATAAGAATATTATGAGCACATCACAACAAACTAACAAGGTGTACTTATAATGGGGGTTAGCCATCCGGAAATCTAGATCTCTATACTTGAGATATTTATGTCATATTTGATTGAAGTCATTTTTGATTATGGAGAATATGCCTAGCTCAAGTATGTATATTCAGATTTATTTTTTTGTTCAATTTTTGACAGAGGAAATACATACGGAGGCGGGGAGAGACGGAAATTCATAGAAACTTGAAGAACGCGAACACCAGTGAAAGAAGACGTTAACCGACCATTTTTTCCCAACATGTCTGAATGACTTTAAAGTTCAACTTTTGCACATTGTCAGCATAAATAAATTTTCTATTCATACGAAGACCACAAATATAGGTACCTACATTGTACAATATATTCTCTGCTCAGTTCAAAAAAAAAGGAGATCCTCTTGAATTAATCTGCCAATTTGCAAATTCATTTGGCTTATTTTCAGATTACGGAACTCCAACTTCTAATTATGTCTTTAATTATCGGTGGAATTAAATGTCTTCGGCAGAAAATTGCCCCCCTCTCAAAAAAATTAAGCAATTTCAATGAGAGATCAAAACTAAAAATAGAATCAAACTGAGTTTCGCGCACGCTTAGTTTTTATACTTTTTTTGGAGATAAGTATTCCTTTTGTTTTTGCCGATGAGTTCGGTATTGATGGTTTATGTTTTGACGATTTTTATATGTTGTATTTGCCTTTTCAAAAATATTCTCTGAAACTTACATTAAAATATATGTCTGGTATTTGATGCGTTTTCTTATAAGAGGAAATTAAAGAGAGAAAACACGGATGTGCAGCGAGAGAATAAACGTATTTATGCTAAAAGGAACAATGTTACACGCAAATCCATTTTTTTTTTTTTTTGGAGGAGAAAATACCTTTATCTCGTTTTAAAAATGTATTTTCAAACTACATAAATTATCCGAATATTGTAAAATACGTCAAAGTCGCTTTTACATCCATTCCTCAACGTTACAATTATAACAAATCGAAAATCATTGTCAAGACGAGTGTTATAGCCAAATGATTGCAATACATTACCAACTTCATTTGAAACCGTATTGCTCGTATTTCAAAATGATGTCGTCAGAAATTGAGGAGTAGAGAAACAAGAAGACGTAAGCCACATCAGCGGGTTATCGAAATTGTAGAAGCTCTTAATTTTTTGAGAGACTTTGTAGGAAGCGCCTTCCAAAACTGTTAACTGCAAATGTTTCTACTGACTCGCACTTAAGTTGTAAAAATTACCAGTGACTTGGTGCTCAGTTCTTTTTTCGAAAATACTTAAAATGTCACAAAATTTGAACAACGCTTGATCTGACATGCTTTATTTCCCTGCACTCTTCTATTTTCTATCGATGCGTGCACTTGAATAGAGAAAACACATTATGCAAGTATTCAAACAGATACCTGTAGGTGCTCTCTAAAGTGATATAAAGATAGACATTTTCGACTCTGACCTACGTGGGTACACATATGTGACAATACTTAAGTTGACAATTGTGAGTTTTGAGTGCATACGTTTTGAGAACATTCATGTGAAGTGCTTTCGCTCTCTCGCAGTGCTGCCAAACTGCGCAGAAGTCAAAAAAATGCGTAGAATTTGATGATTTGCGGATATTTCAATCAAAATGCGGATCATTTGCAGAGATTCTAGGAAAATGCAGATTTTTGTGCATTGTGTTTGATAGGCTCAAGAGCATATGCGGCCAGTTTTGCGGATAATTATACTTTATTTCGGATTGCGGATTACATACATATTGCGGAGCTTGTTAGAATGCGGAATATTTCCGGATCCGAGAATTAGCGATTAACACGGATCTTTGAATGTACTTAGCGGTGTTAGAATCGCGGAAAATTTTGCGGATGTTTACCAAATCTTTTCACCATTTGTGGATTGTTTGTAAAGGTACTAAAGAGTAAAGTGGCTTCCTGCGGATCTTGAGGTCCTCCTTTCGTGTGTGTGTTTTTGGAATTTCAGACGGCAGCACCGCCAGCTTACCCGTAGATGCATTATCCCAGATAGACGAACAAACAGTCCGGAGCTTTCTTCGGCGAGCGAGTATTTTTATACAGTTGCGCTTTCTTTTGTGCCAGCTGTAGGCTGAGATAACTCACGAGATAGTTACATAAATTAAAATAAAAGAGCTCATAGCTTATATCAGCTATAAAAAGTTGAGTCCGGTGTTCGAGCTCTGGGTGACGTAAGAGCTCGTACGACCCGTGGGTTTGTGGGCCGGAGCCAATCGGCTCGTTGAAAGAAAGAGTGGGTCCAAAAGGGAGTTTATCGGCAGTATCAGCCGACCGCCAACCAGTTTTCTGATTTTCATCTCGCCTCATCTTCCGAGCTTCCGTTTTTTCTCCCGCTCAACTTCGGTTATTTTTGTGCCACCGCATAGCCCACCTAGTTACGTGCTGCGCTCTCACCCTCGAGGATTACCCCGTTTTAATCGGAATTTTCACGTAAGTCTACCCAACTTTTTTGTCTACCTATTGCACAACACCCCCACACCCTCATCCACTACTTTGATTCTACGTGCTGACCTTGCTCAGTGGAGATGAGCCAACTCAGGGAAGTCAGTGCGGAGAGCGGGGGAGGGGAGTCACTGTCTCCCCTGCATTTTAAATCTTACTCCCTTATGTGAGAAAATTTTCATCGATTTTAGAAGATTTTCATCGATTTTAGAAGATTTTTTTAAATCGTTTTTCCTCCCCCCCCCCCTCCATGCCCTCTTAACAATTTTTGCCCTCCTCCCGGAGAAATGGTCGAAATGGCGCCCCTGAACTATTTTTTGCGGTATTTGAGTAACCATTGATTTCGCTGGACAAAATATTGGTCAAATTATTAATTTGAGGAAATTTGTCGTAGTTTTGCCCCCCCCCCTCCCCCGGGGCCTACTCTTAACGAACACTGCTTCTAGACCTCTTCCCTAGGATTAGGCCAAAATGATGCCTCTGAACCAAATTTTTGCTGTATTTTAGTAATCATATTGATTTCCGTGTACAAATAGAATGCTTTTTTATGCACCTGAACTCCAGAATATTGCATCTCTGTCAAGTTTTGAGCTGCACGGATCGAATTCGCGTCGCAATGTTTCCCCTGTTCCTTTAATCACAATTACATCCACTAATCGGAGTTTTTCATCTGAAGAAGGACTGCATTTTGCAACGAAAAAATACAATTTTTGGCTCATCCGAAAACGCCCCAATCTGCATAAGGAAAGTAATCGCACCATGAGCCAGAAATTGTAGTTCCTTATTACAAAAATGTAGTCCAACTGCGTCTAGCCACGTAAAAAAGGAATTTAAATGCAATAATTCTCAAAATTGGGTAATGTGCCACAGCAGTGGAAAAAGTTCAATAAACTTTTTTGGAAAAGCTGCTGAAAAATGTCAAATCTAACGAAAGTCATGCCTGGATGAACCCTCCAAGCCAACACGCGTAGTCGCTTGAAAGAGCTATTTTAGACTCTAATCTGCTGTATTACGGGCGGGTGGTCGCCGGTTTGGCATTCAACTTTTTGGCCCTATATTGTCACAAAAATGAACTATTCCAATCGCGACTTACTCTCCAGGTTTTTTAAGAGAGTTTTTCTGTCGGCATCTCGAAATCCGAATGGCGATTGGGCGTAGCAGAGCGCGAGGCTGTGCTATAAAAGCGGCTTAATGTATGTATCTCGAAATCCGACTTTGATACCTATCTCATTTTTGATGAGAGTAACTCTGATGAAAATTGAACTACATTTTGCAATAAGAAACTATTATTTCTGGCTCATTTTCCCCACACAGATAGGCCGGTGTCATTATGCCGCTATAGACGAGCCAGAAACAGTAGTCCCTCATTGCAACATGTATTCCAGTTTGAGTGCATTTTGCAATCAGGAGCTATAGTATTTGGCTCATTTCACAAACATCATATATGCTATTAGTATCCTATACACATAGGTGCTTCAATGGATGAGCCAGAAATTATAGTTCCTTATTGCAAAAATCTGTCCAATTTTGCCTACTTATACAGTCACAGTAGAACAGGTTCAACCACTATCAGCCTAACTACATTGCAAGTTGCTCTATTTTCGCTTTCGTTTTATTCGTCTTGTTTACAAGAGAGCCGAGTAACATTCTTCGAGGAAATTTTGTGATTATATCCCTCATAATTTTGGGGAAGTACACGTGGCGTTTCAAGGCATTATAGAGCTTGGTTTTGTTTCAAGGAAGTAAAACATGTGCAAAAATTAGACGATGTAAAATGCGATTAAGCTGCCTCTGGCCGCACGTCTAATTATTTTGAAACGATGCGCCACAACCGGCAGTTCGTTTTATCGCGACATCATAACAAATACTTAGGTTGTAATACAGGGTTTGGTCCTATCTTTTATTTTTCGTGTTGACGTTTAATGGTATCTCCGTCTCAGCGAAGAAATGACAATTACATGCGATTTGATTGTGAATATATCGTGAATTAGTCGCGAATGGTCCAAGGCCAGGTCCTTTACCTCGGTCTTTTTAAATTCAAAAGACGTCATTCGTAATCATTTATCAGGAAGCTATATCGAGTCGTAGCAATTTCAATTTCATCTTTGAACGCTTCTCGGTAGAAAATGAATACTAATTGTAAGTAGGTAGCAGAGTTCGCTTGAACATCGACAGATACTCGAGCGTTCGCTTACACTTATCAGTCGCGCACACCCAACTCACTTGATCTAAGATTTCTCGGAGAGAGTGTAGGCCCGCAGAAAAAGGCTTAGATCGAAAAGTCAAAGACCGATGAAATGTCCAACCTCAGCGGTTTCCTTTCTCAATCATTACTCCACTGATGTCAGATCTGATAGTTGCGAGTTGGAACTCTTTCTGACTCAGTTTGGGAACAACGTATGTACCACTAGTCTCCTTGTGCACGTAAGTGTTTTTACGAGTGAGCCAGAAATTGTACTTGCCAATTACAGATCGAAGTTTATTTAAACAGGGCGGGACGCAATCAGTCAAGTTTCTAGAAAGCATGAAAAACTTGATTTCTTTGACAGCTCTTCATTCTTATGGTCGTAAAAATCACGGTCACACGAAGAAGATCGGCAAAATATTGGGCAAGTTTTACAGTAAAAACTTTTTAAGTCAAATGACACTCATGACGAAATTCTGCTTGAGTTATAATTTATTTTTTTGTCTCTAGATAGGTAAAGTTACACAAGGACGCGTGTTCTATGACAATATTAAAAATCATAGATTGTGCCCTTACTCATGGTTTTCATCATGAGGAAGCATAATGAAGTTGTGTTAGGCTGAAATTCTCTGATTTTTTTTTTTTTTGCTAAATATATTGTATGTTGATGGAAACAAAAATGAACGACAATGCGCGAAATGCGAGCATAAATATGGCCGAGCGCCGGAATTTCCATATTTTAGTGTTAAACAAATTAAATTTTGAACAGAATTTTTCCAATCATTCTATTTTAATTTCCGTTTGAACATTAAATTATGATTTTGAGATTCAGTCGTTTTCAGAAGTTTTGTTGCTACTCGTTAGTCAAGAGTATTTTCAAATGTATGGAAAAATGAAAATATGCCGCTATACACCTTCCTAAATTAAGTGGTTTGTCTTGGGCTAACAAGATGTGCAGTACTTCAGACATCATTTCAAGATGAAACTGAACATTGGTCTTTGCATAACAATCTAATATTTAACACTGCTCTCTCTTTACTCTCTTTTCTCTGAAATATAGCTGGAAAGTTATCCTCATTAAATATTACGTCAATGTGCCTCGTACTACGAGCTCAGAGAATGAAATTATGAAGAGGCGGTGGCATAGAAACACTTGACCACGATACCGCCCACGCTTGCCTTCGCGGAGCAACGACGAACGAACAATCGCCTTCATTAAATCAGATAGGCAACAAGCGTGTGAGCAGAGTCGAAATAGTGGTATCAAAATCTGATCCGATTGTATCACAAGGTTTTTATTCATGATCGATCTTTAACCGCCTATTTCATTGGGCAGATCCCGGATCGATTTCATTGTGATTATAAATAAGGTTTGGGTGGGGGGCGGGAGGTTGACGAAACATCATCAGGAGGACACATTTTACGAGCGTCGCACAGTAGATCCAGTCAACGAGAGAGGTCGGACATGAAATTTTTGACTGAAACTGCAAATTTTGATGTTTATTTCGTCACATTTTAAATTTTAAAGAGTGCTTAGGGAAGAAAAAGTCACGAGAAAACCAATGGAACCACTTTCAGAACCTCAAAGTTTTTTATAAGCGGAGTTATGAGCTTTTAAAGTTTCCAAATTGTGTCCGACCTCTCCTGTGGACTCGATTCACTGTGCGTCGCACGGTATTTCTTTAGGGAACTTAAAGGACCGGAATAGTTTGTTCGGATCTATAAGATCCCTTTTCTAATGATTTAGAGTGATTTTGAACTGAACTGCTAAATTTAAGCAGCTGAAGTGGTTTACATATTAAATCTGAAACTGTTTGAAAAGTTGTACATAAAACGTCTCAATGAAATAACTGTTTGAAAAGTTGTACATAAAACGTCTCAATGAAATAGTCAAACAAAATAATTTAATTATCGATGCACAATTTGGTTTTCGAGCTCAGCATTCGACAGTTGATCAATTACATCGCATCACAAAATTCATTGAGGACGCCCTTGAAAAGGGGGAATATTGTGTGGCGGTTTTTCTTGATGTTGCACAAGCGTTCGATCGTGTCTGGCACGAGCGTCTCATTGGAAAGCTTTTCTCAATGCTCCCTTGAAACCATGTGGAGCTCCTGTCTTCTTTTCTCACAGGGAGACAATTTCGAGTTCGTTACGAAAACTCAACCTCTGGTTTCAGACCCATTAGAGCAGGAGTTCCTCAGGGTTCTTGCTTNTGGTGAAAATGTAATCTTTATTCCCGTTTGTGACACTGTGGAGGCCTAAAATACGGGAACCAATCAGAAATGGATTCAAATTGTCTTGACTCTCAGTATAAAGGGACTCTAGACCACGATACAGCCCACGCTTGCCTTCGCGGGGCAACGACGAACGAACTATCTCCTTCATTAAATCAGATAGGCAACAAGCGTGTGTGCAGAGTCGAAATAGCGGTATCAAAATCTGATGCGATTGTATCACAAGGACTTTATTCATGGCCGCTCTTTAACCGTCTATTTCATTAGGCAGACCTCGTATCGGTTTTATTGTGATTAAATAAGGTTTATTTGGGGGAGGGGGGTTGACGGAACATCATCAGGAGGACAATTTTTACGGGCGTCGTGCGGCAGTTGTTTAGGGAACTTAAAGGAGCGAAATAGTTTGTCAGGATCTGTAAGATCCCTTTTCATAATGATTTAGAGTGATTTTGAGCTGAACTGCTAAATTTAAGCGGCTGAAGTGGTTTACATATTAAATATTAAAAATTAAGAGGAAACGGCTTGCAACTATGTATTGACTCCTGGGAATTTCAAGAATACTACCC